TTAAAGGGGGAATCATGGGGACAGACAGGAAGTTAAAGGGGGAATCATGGGGACGGACAGGAAGTTAAAGGACCCAAAACAGGAAGAGAAAGGGGGAATCCTAGCTGCAGCCACTTCAAAAGGCTTGTTTCCACCAGGGTGGGTGAGTGGGCCACTCACTCGCGTGCCAGAAGGGCTTCATGTGCCAGCTATGGCACCTAGAGGGTTTACCACTCCCTTCTTCTGGGGCCACCCTGGAACTGTGCAGCTTGCCCAAGGCCAGGCAAGCTGGCTGGCTCTGTAGGCTAGCTGTTCCCCTAGGGCAGTGATGGTGAACCTTTTTGGATCCGAGTGCCCAAACTGAAAAACAACAAACCCAGCGGGTTGCGGGCAGCAGCGGAACTGGAAGTAGTAGTGGTGGAACTGGAAGTGGCAGCAGAAGGGGGAATCCCGGGCACAGAGATGCCTTGAGACTCCACTCCAGATCTTCCGTCAGGGCCAGCTGATCCAGATCCTGGCCCACCAGGTGGGCACCAGCACTATGGCTGCAGCCACCTCCTCAGGTTTGGCCATGGGGGGGGAGTAGCGATCTGGCAACTTATGGCTCACGTGCCCACAGAGAGGGTTCCGTGTGCTAGCTGTGGCACATGTGCCATAGGTTCGCCATCACTGCCCTAGGGGAATGACTCCTCTAAGGAGGCGCATTCCTGACACCTCCTTTTTCAAATCCAGTGCTCTCTAAGTAAAGGAGAGTGGAAGGAGCAGGGTTAGACACTCTCTCTCGTCTACCCAGTTTTAAATGAAGGGCTACCTCATACTGACAGAGTAGATTCACTGAATTCAGTAGGATGTCTCCCAGCCAACACCTGATTGCTGACATGGAGCTGTCCATGGTTTGGACAAATCCTGCTTTTAACTAACAAATTTTAATCTGAGATTCTTTCAACTATCCCTGTCCCTGGATTACATCCTGGATTTAGCACGACAAAACTGCCTTGTCCATGTTGAGATTCAGCATTATTCATCTGCTTTCTATACGTCTTCTGTCATGCATTTCTGGAATTTGTTTATACTATCATTAAGGCTGTGTATCTGCATGGTTTAATTGTTGCAGCTGCTGTTATTTAGACTCATTTATCAATCTCACAACATGCTAGCTAAAATCTTGCTGCATAGCTTTACCAGAGTAGGGGAAGGATGTCATCAACAAAGTCATGCTGTCTCTAATTAAAGATTCCTTGCTTTGACTTCAGGTTGCATATGACTCCTGCACAATGAGATGAAATTGGGCTCAATGTGGAATCAAAACATAGAGTCTTTAATTAGTGCCAGTCTGCCACTTCCAGTGATGTCATGCTCCTTAGACAATGAAAGAAAAACATTTGTCATTGCATCTCACTAGAAGTATTTTCGTATCCTAATTAATATGCATGGTACAGCCATATATAATGCCTCTGAGAGGAAAAGTATAGTTTGCATTCACTTCCTGTTAGGCAGGAAAGGGAGGCAATCAGCTGTTGGCTGGTCAGTTTTCTATCTTTTATCACTATCCACACTAGCATTGATGCCAGTGCAAAAGAATGCCTAAAACAGACTTCTTTCCTTGACTGTACACAGAGAGGATCAAGGAAAGTTAAGCCTTTTGTCAGTCACCAGCTAGACAGCTGCAAGCCATTTGCATCCTGAGAAAATAATTTCACCTAAGAGTCAGTAAAGAATCACATTTTTGTTAGTTTCAGGAAGCCCTGGTCAATTTCAACTTTCTTGCTCACTTCAGGGCATGTATTTGCTTTTGGTTTGAGCACTGTTGGGTATACATGATCTTTTGAAGAAAGATGTATCTAACATGAGTCAGTGTAAATTTAGTTTTCAAACTCTTCTCAGGTTTGAAAATCAGACTGTGTTTGGGATGGGGTGGGAGGTGGAGAGAGTATGTAAGCGAAAGTCAAGATTCCTTTCTTTCAGAGAATTAATTGTGTGCCGTCAAGTCAATCCTGGCTAAGGGCAATTCTTTTCAGGGTTTTCTAGATACAGAGTAGCTGTGCAGCTTGCCCAGGGCTTACACAGGCTGGTTCTACTCACAGGAGGCACAGTGGAGAATTGAATTCCCAGCCTCTGGCTCTACAGCCAGATAGCTAACTCACTGAGCTTTCAGATGGGGACTTAAAATCTCCTGAAGGATGCGCCAGCCTGTGCCGTCATGGGCAAGATGCACAGTCCAGAAGAGAATGGTACACCACTTCTGTGTATTCTCTACCAAGAAATTCCTGGAAAGGGTCACAGTAAGTTGGAATCAAATTGACAGCATGCAATTAATAATACTTTCAGATGGGAGGGGGGTCTTAAAATGTAGGCAAAAATATCCATATTAGC